CTCCCCATAAGGCAACTGGACTTACGGGTTTTGTCATCCTACATAAGGGCATCTTTACAGTACTTTATGATGGGAAAATTTAAACCCCTAAAGAGGTTTGCTGCTTATCTCATAGCAACATTCTTGGAAGTACTGTCAAACTAAAAGATAAATATTTTTCTATTGATGAAAGGACAAATGTTTGCAATCTGCAAACCTTTCTTGTGGTGACAAGTGCTTATCAGTAATATGTGATCTGGAAGGTATTTTTAAAAAAATGAACAGGCTTTATCCAACCCTTCAAGGTAAAGATAACATATCAACGAGTAAGAAAATAGCTATTTTTGCAACAGAAGTTGATGTTAAGTGCATTTGAAGATGGTCAGACATGCTTTAAGCTCTGTGAAAATGTGTTGCCCCAAATTGTCACCTATACAAATTCTCATAAGCGCACATTTAAATTTGGGAGATGAAATCCCAACATGAGCTTCGGTAGGTTTTGAACTCATTCGTTACCAACAGTAAACATGTCACACTCCCAATTACTGAGCACGAACAACTTACCGACAGTGAGAAAGATGGAAATTTATTATAAAGATTTCAACAAACACTTTTAAAGACTAGTGGGTGGAACTGAAAAATGAGTATTGTTTTTCAATAAGTACAGTCATTTGGATCCACAGATCTTAAGAAGTGGCTTTTCAACCACAATCGCCATTAAAACAAACTTACCTTAGAACCAGACATTAACTTGTTTATGTCATAAAATGTTAAAACTAGGAGTTTCAGAAATAATGAGGCATTTTTAGTCATATGGCTTTCCCTAAAAGAAAACATTTTTAGAAAGAGCAAAAGGTATTTTTTTTACCACAAATCCACAAAATATTTTAAAACATTTTACCTCATCTTTTTTTTTCCATTTTCTTATGTGTATTAGAATAGTACATAAACATTGCTTTTAAAATATCTATGTATACACACAGACACACACACACACACACACACACACACACACACACACACACTCTCATGTGTGCCAAGGGCTGTACACAGGCTTGTTTCATTGTGTGTACCCTTAGAACAACCTTCTCCAACCCCAAGAAAATATTAACTATATTGCCTTCTAGTTTTTATAATTTAATTGCTTTTGGTGAATGGTATAATAGGAATCAATTTAACTTCCGACAGTTATACCAGCACCTTTTATTGAATAATCCATCAGGGCCAGGATTATTTCAAAAAGCCACCTTTAATGTACTCTAAACTCTTAAAAGTAGAGTCTATTTTCCATTAACTTGTCTATTTTTATACCAGTGTATAAATTTAATTGCACTTTAAAAACACTATTACTTTTTGGTAGAGTAAGTTTCTTTTTTTCTCCCCTTTCAAATGAAGTTTTCTATTTTCATTTGTTTACACTTCCACATGAATTTTAAAGTCATGTTTACTTAAAACATACAGAAAATAACGTTTTTTAAAAAGCCATTTTTTTTGTGCATGTCCTTTCATAACACATTCATCTAATGGGTTCGTATATATTTTTGTTTTTTCACTTACTATGAATACTTTCCCATGTTGCTAAGCAGCCTTATGCACCACCATTTTTCATGCCATTATGTGGGCATGCTATCATTTAATTAATCCCCTACTGTTGGGCATTTTGGTTTTCTCTTTTTTTAAGTGAGGTATACTAGTTTCAGGTGTACACTGTGGACTTTTAATATATATTAAAAACACTCTTTGGCATTGGAATCGGCTTTGCACTGAATGTACAGTATTAACTCAAGAACTGACACGTTCCCAGTGGTCATGACGTCCCTATTACCACGTGCTCATAAGCCGTGTGCACCTCTCTGCTCATTCGCCTCACCTCACCCCCAGGAACCATGACCTTGAATGCTGCAATCCTCTTTTCTTTAGTTTTACTGAGCATGAGTCCCTAAATGTAGTTTTTCCTGTTTTTGAGCTTTACTTAAAGGTACCCAGGCTGTGTGTTCTGACTCGACATTTCTGGTTCACCTATGCTGACGTGCGAAGCCCTACACTACACTTACTACTCTAGAAAACCCCACAGCACACACCCGCTCCACTTATTCATTATACTGCAGATAGGCACATGGCTCTCCCTCCCTCCTCCTTTACAGTTATTACAAATAACAGCGTTGTGACCATTCCTGTGTGTGTCCTGAGTGCATATGCCCGCAAATGTGTTTCTCTAAGAGCACACATCCTGGGCTGTAAGACGTACCCGTGTTCAACTTCACTAGATAAACTGTTTTCCAAAGCGGTAGGACCGAGGTACATGCCTTCAGTGGGTGCAAGTTCCTGCTGTCAGTCTCTCTAACTGTTGATATTTTCTGACTGTTTTGTTGCTGCTCGTTTGGTGGCTAGGAATTGCTATTTCTTTATGGTTTCAATATACATTTCAGTGTGCAACTAATAAAGGTGAACATCTTTTCATGTTTATGGGCCATTTCTGCTTCTTTTATGACATGCCTGCTGTGTCTTCTGCCCATTTCTCTCCCAAGTTGTTTCTGTTACAGATTTGCATTCAGGTGTTCCTTCCCAGCTATGTATATACAGGTTCCAGTGATCTGTGTCTTATTCCATTTTGGGCTTATTTTTTCATTCTATGGCATGTTTGGTAAACTAAAGTACTTACTATCAATGTAGCCTAACTATTTTTTAATTCATGATTTGCACTACCTTGTTCACAAAATCCTTCCTCCCTTCCCCAAAGTCATAAAAATATTCTTGTATATCGTCTTCTAAAAGTTTTGTAGATTTAACTTTCCTATGTAAATCTTTAATCCACCTGGGACTGACTTTTGTGTGTGGTGTAAGGTAGAGGTCCAATTCGTTCTTTTCCTTTGTGAAGAATTACCGGCACCCCGTTTATAAATAATCCGACCTCCTCCCCACTCATTTGCAATGACTGCTGCCCTTTTAAAAATCAAGTTCCCATTCAAGTGTGGGTCAGTTTCTCAGCTCTTTCTTCTTGTTCATTCATCTACTTGTCGTCTCTGTACCAATTCCACATTGTTTTAATCACTATATTATAGTTTTACAATTTGGTAGTGCTAGCGCTCCTCACATTTCATTCTTTTTCAGGAAGGTCGTACATACCCTTAGCCCTTTATTCTTCCATTTATATTTTTGGATCAGCTTGTCAAGTACCACAATGAAAACCATTGGGACTTTTTATTGGAGTTGCATTAATCTATTAACTAATTTGTTAAAAGAGCTGAAGCCTAGATGATTTTATCTATCAGAGTCTCTCCATATATTTATGGGTGTTTTTTTTTTAAATAATTATTTTCTCATTAAAAGGCCACATATCTTTTACTAAGATTTATTCTTAGGTACTTTACATTTTTTGTTCTTACTACACATTTTATTTCTTAATTATGTTTAAACTTTAAAAACCACTGTTGCTTGTAGCTGGTGCATGAAAATGTAATTGACATCTGCATACTGATTTTGTTCCAGCAACTTTGATAAACTCTTAAGTCTTCTAATTTGCCTTGTAAATTCTTTGGGTTTTCATAGACATCTGATTACACAATGTTAATCTGTTAATAGATGAGTCACATTAATTGATTTCCTAATATTAACCAATTTGCATTCCTGAGATAAATCCAATTTGGTAATTTGTTATATTTTAATAGAATCTTAGATTTGGTTTGCAAAAATGCTTATTTTCTTATTGCTGGGTGTAAGGGAAGCTATAGAGAGATAGATAGATAGATAGATAGATAGATAGATAGATAGATAGATAGATAGATGATATAGATATATATAGATATAGATATATCTCAGATCAAATTTATTAGCTATGCTATTTAAATCTTCTCTGCCCTTAATGATCATAATAATTTTGTCTTCTTCATGATCTCGTAATTAAGAACTGAGATGTGTTAAACATGTCTGTTATGTTCGTAGTTTAATCTGTTTCTCCTTGTAGTTGCGGCCACTTTTTTCTTACTTTGAGGTATAATATTAGTACACAATAAAGAAGTTTAGAATTGTTATATCCTTCTGGCAAATTAATCCCATTGCCACATGTAACAACCCTATCACTAGCAATCTGGGAAGAAAAAAGGAGATATTATAAACACAGGGAAACGGAGGCTAAGAAAAATAACACATCTAAAACATGCAACTAGTTAAGCTGAGGCTTAGACTTGTGCCCTCGGGCTTTATGCATGATATTCTCTCTACCATATCATGTTTCCATGAAGTTCAGTTATTTTAGAATTTCGGAATGAGAGAGAGGCCAATGGAGTAAATAAATTAAACATACATAAACACATAGAAAGAACTGACTCTAATAGATAAGTTTTATGCTCATCTAAAAACAATTTGCTAATAGAAGGGCTAGATTTAAATAGCTCTCTACTTGGCTTGGGGGGGGGAGAATCTGAAGAAGGAAACTGTCAAAGTTATTTAAATGTAGAGAAAAAAGAAAATTTAAAGTCACTGAATCCAGCTCTGAGTGGTAATCAAAAAGTAGGTACCATTACAACACAGCTTAGGTTACAAAAAAGAAGTTGAGAACAGCATTCTGAGAACACTAGGAAGGGACACTTGCAAAGAGACAGCAAGAGAAACTAAAATTGTCAAGTGAGATTACAAGAAAACCTCAGGGGACATTACTAATTTCATAACAAAAAAAACACAAAGGCTTAGTTTTATAAAACATGGTATAATCAATGCAAAAAATCCCAAGTCAGAAAGTTTTGATTAAGGGTCCACCGTGTGCCAGTGTTTAAAAAGGAAAAACTACATATATGTACATATGTGTGTACATATATATATATATAGTTACATATAGTTTTATAAAACTATATATATATATGGTTAAATACACACACACACACACACACACACACACACACACACACATTGCTTTTTATCACTGGTACAGAGGTCAAGATGAACACTCACCCTGCGGGCTAATTAACCATGGTAGAACAGACGTGCCCAGTGTCATTTTCGTTTAGGAGGCATTACAAATATACTATAAGCAAAATCATCATGTTCTGTATTACAACAAAGTTCCAGTAAACCAGGTATCAACATAACAAGGCCAAGGACATCTGTACAAGATTTATTTCATTAACCACAATGTTTTCAAAGCGATGGTTTACACCCTAATACAGAAGGACTGATTCAAAACCTTCAAGAGTTAAAGGTCAGAGCCAAAGTCAGTGGATTTGAATCCCAGGTCAATAAGAATTTCATCCACCATATTGTTTTTCTGGGATTAATAAAAAAGCTGACGTACAGAACGCCCTGTTCTAAGCCCCACTATGCTTTCCAACAAACAAGCACCACCAGGGACTAGATTTCATTGCTTCAGCCTTGCTCTGGCTGTGCTGGTGGGTGACAAGGCCTCTTGTTTGCATGTGACCTTCCCTTTATTCATAAGCATGACTGCCACAGCTCCTCACCACTTCACATTTGAATAATTTCTCCTGAATTGCATGGCTGTAATATTGACAAACAGGACTAATGAGAGCAATTAAATTGCCATCTGTTTTAAAAAACATACCCTTCTAAGAGAGCATCTACAATCTTATTGCATTCAGTACACAGTCACAACACTGAAATGACATGTGGGAATCAATACAAAATATTTATTTTTCTCAAACCACAGAATTCAACTTAGAGCCACGCTACAAACTTCCCAGAATTGTAAGCCATTAACACTTTTCTGAACAATCCAGTCCAACCAGAAACAAAGCGAGTTTCTATCCAGCAGAGGTACATATACCCGGGTCCTGGAAGAAGGCGTCTCTGCTTAGTGTTTTCGTCAATCCTCCCACAGCCACTCCATCAACATAAGCAGAGAGAGTATAGATACTTGTGCCACTCAGCTCTGGAAAGACACTCAAAACAGGGTCCCGGCCAGTGTAGGAGGGAAGGTGCAATGACTCAGTTACCAAACAGTAGGGACAGAAGAGAAATAATCTCCTTTGAAAAGGAATAGGAGTCCTTTCACATATACTGGTGGCCAGAAACGGGCATGTTTCAACAAGCTAATGGAAGTCACAGGAAAGCCATTTCTCCATGAACTACTCTGTCCTCTATTTTAACTTCTGATAAACATGAATTTCATCTTATGCAATCTTATTGAAAACAGTGATCACAACCAACAAGGTCCTAAAACCCTCTTATAGGCATCAGTCAAGAGATTCACATTCATATCTTAAATTTTAAAGTTCCCTTAAGAGGTCCAGACCTGGAGTAAAGTAAACATCACACTCTGAAACTCAATGAAACACCATAAAAAAATCAGCTCAAAACATCCAAATACTGACTGGATAGCTAATGTAGGCTTTTAATGTTAGTTTTTAGTTGTAAAGTTTTTCGTATCTCAGATCAGTGTATGTTCATAAAACAATGTTCCGTTATTTTAATAGCTGCTTATTAAACAATTGACTTCTAGCTCAAGGGCAATACCTCTTGCGTAATAATCATGGACATAATTGTAATAAAACAGAACACAGCCAGCCTCAGTAAGACGACGACAGATCCGGGCGGGTTACTCTGGGAGATGAAGTGGCTTATTTAAATACTATGGTACAGGTGTCTCTGCTCACTTCATACCTGCAGAAACTGGTTGTGTTTGCTAGATCACCACTACCTTTGCTAGTACACGTGCACAGACCACCACTCCGAAGTTCTCCTTTTGTGCTGAAGGACTTTCAAATCCCTTAGGGGTCAGTACAGAATATTGCGAGGTGATGCAGGTGCAAACTCTTCCTGAGGAATTCTTTGTGTGCAAATTTGCAACCCGACAGAAAGCAAGGGGAGGGGCAGCCTTACAGGGCTGCAGGATGGAGATGCAAGGGCAGCATTGTGGCTGTGGGCCTGTGTCCTGCAATCTCACTCACAAATGGGTTTCATCCTCTACCCCGAAGAAACGGAGGGGAACTGCCTCAAACTTGTAAAAGGGATGGAGGACGGGGGATGGGGGACAGGGGACGGGAGGGGAGGGGTAATGTTTCCATAAAATGTAATAATGCACAACTCACGCATCCAGGTTTGTGTTTCTTCTCACCAACTCGACCTAAGAACTATTAGCTTTGGAGTCACTATACCAGGCTTTGCTTTCTGCCCCGCAGGAAACAAAGGAGCAGGTCCGGTTGGGCTAGGGTGCAGCTATGACAACAGAGGACATAAGATGACACTGTAACTGAAGATTCAGGCCAACCTTGGAAATAAGTACCGACTCACAAAACCATGAGCGCCTCCTTATACTCTGACTCGTCATTACCTCAAGGTGACGGACCCAGCTGTCTTTTGGAGGGTCTTGATTCAGGCTGCACACACACACCAGCAGTTTAGCCAAATCGAGCGTGTGTACGATTTGCTGTCTTCAGTGACCTGGGCCCCACAAGCCAGTATTTAACGGGCGTGGAGAAACTGTCTGCTGTCCTGGCAGGAGTCCAACCGAACAGGGGTCGAGAGCACTTGCTCCAGACAGAGCTGAGTCAACACAAAACGGAGGACAGACCTTGTTCCCTCTCATGTTGCAAACTAAGAATTTTGTTGAGAATCCCGATTAAAATAAGCAAGGTCAATTTTGACTTGAAATAAAGAAACCGGTTCTTCATCCTGCAGCGTATCTCAAGGGGTAAAAACACTGACCACCAGGTCACAAGCGCAGGAGGACGAGCGCGTTCTTTCCACGTGCAGCACCAAGCCCTGACCCAGCTGGCTGCGTCACTGCGCAAACATTCAGAGAAACTAAATCTTGCCATCTTTACTCTGCTTTTTGTTAACACATATATAGTAACAAAAAGAAGACAATGTACAATATTTCTCCATTAACTTAATAATACAAAAACATCCAAACATTTTAATGCCAATTCACATCATAATATAATGCTTTTAGAGGGAAAAGTCCACTGTTGGCCAAAGAAGAAATGTCTCTCCCAGAAAAAGCATTTGGGTATATTATTAAAATACTGAAGCATTCTTCCACATTTAAAGAAACATTCCAATTTTATTCCTTTCGGAAATATTATTAAAACCCCTCGGGAGCGACTTCAGCTGCAAGTGCTATTGATAAGCCTGCAGCAAGCATTCTGTTAAGAAGAGTAAAATTTGGACTTCATGATAAAACGGAATTTTTCCTCGATACTAGAACGTTACTTGTGTAGCAAATCAAACTGCACAGGGCATAATGAGAACCTGCAGGTATTCTTACAGTATTTCAGTGTTTATCAATATAATCTAAGATGCTCACAGAGTTAAATGAGTCTAATTCAAGTTCTCCACAAAACCCACCCACTCTGCTCGATAAGTACTTAAAAAAATAAATCTGACAACCTTTACTTGTACTTCTCTGAATAGTACGCTTACAAATATAGGACTTCTATTAGATGACGTACTTGCTCCCAAGATCCCCCGCCCCCCCCGCCCCCCAAAAAGGACAAACTGAATTGGCAGAGGCAACTCTTATGGAAAACTTGCAAAGTGGGACAGTATCTCTGATATGTCTTCTTTTCTGCTCCAAGTTCTCTAAAGAGGTAAATATTAATCTGACATTCCCCAATAGACTCAAGCATACGCTCAAGTTAGATTCAAGCAAAACTGAGGGGAAAAAATGGTTTTTGCTTGCCACATCTCCCTATTTTTCTTTGCCTTTCAACAACAACCAGAATAAGCTTCAGAGTCTTTTATAAGGAGCTAAACTGCACTGTGGGCGTAGAAAACAGGAGTCAGCTTTGCCGCCGCTGAGAGCACGCCTCCTACGGCAGTGCTGGCCTTCTCTATCACACTCAAACACAGCGTTTAAAAGACAGACTGCAGACCTTTTTTTTAAGTACTTATCTTACTTATTTCAAATGAAATGGATCAGGGATCCCACACCACTGATTATATTTGGATTTAATAACCATATCTGCTTCCTAGAGCATCCCAGGAACCAGCTTTTACTGTTGGATAATTCTCAACAATATTAAAAAGGGAGCTTTAGTGCTCAAGTCCCGGCCACCTCTAAACATGATGCTGATACCACGGCAGCCAGTGAAATCGTGTTAGGTGATAGAGGGAATGGAAATGTTCTACAAGAGTTGGTCCCCAACATTAACATGAGTATGTCATGGTGAGGCAGGGGGAATCTGACCAGTGTGCAATGTGTGTCTACTTCCCCACTTATTTAGCATCCTGCTTTGAAGTCAGACCTGCCATGTTGGCGGGTTAGTCCGTGACACCATACACTTTGTCAGGAAGCGTTTGTGAATTTGACAACATGGTCACAGAGTTGCAAAGTGCACAAAGCTCAAGGCACAGAGTAGAAAAAAGTTGTGGACTGATGGGGGAAAAGTTATAGCAAAAGCAGAGTTAGCATTTTCCTTTAACAAGACTGTCTAATGGTAATCAAAGACCAACTCTTTTCTAAAGGGGTTTATTTTGGTTATGGGTGAAAAATACTGGATTGTAATGATCCGCTTGGTTTTAAAGCAAACGGTATCTTGATGTGTGAAACCAATATGCTGAAGTGCCAAGTCCACAAATGAACAAAACAAGTGCTTAAAAAAACAAAAAAGATTCTTCTGCTTTTATACTTTTGGAGGAAGCTGCTGAGTTGGGCTGCTGGGTTTTATTTAGCAATGGTCACTTTCCAAGATGCTTGTTCCTCACGGAATCTGCAGATAAACGCATTAAAAGATTGCCCCGTTTCAAAATGATCCCCAAGTCTAGCAGCAACTGACTGTGTTTGTGTTTTTGCATGTTAGTTTTTTGTTTTTTAAAATTACAAACCAAAGTAAGAAGTCCACCATCCTCTTCCAAGACCAGCTTTGTGGCAGAGCCTAAGTGCAGGCCCCCGCTGTGCTCTGAACACAGTCTTTGCAGCTCCAGTGTGTCCTTTTTTCAGGAAGGAAAGTACATTCAATACATTCACTATCTGTACCCTCTGGAACTTGCACATGCTGATGAGCTGTCTGAAAAGAAAGCATCGAAACAGAAAAAAGTATGAATAGCAGACGGCAATGGATAACAGGAGGAATCTGCTTATTTAACACATTATTTCCCACCCCTCTCCCAACCTCCTGAAAGGAGAGTACGCACACACACACACACACACACACACACACACACACACACACACACACCCTCTCAAAGCCATGTGGCTTTGAGTGAAGTGAAAGGGGGCTAGGTCATCAGGAACTGAGACTGGGTCACCATCCCATTCTAAAAAGTTTTATTATATAGTAGTTTTATTAATAGCAGAGGCTAAAGAACCTGGCAGCCTCCTGACAGCGCCTGAGAACCAGCAGCAGCAGCTGGACTTGAGAATGGCCACTGCAGGACAGTCTGACCTTGATCACTCAAAGGCCTCAAAACCATCAAAGACAGTAAGGAACGTCACTACTTACTATAAGCCAACTCATCCCCAGCTCTCTTGCGGGACTGGTCACCTCTGGGGATTAAAAAAAAAAAAAGAGGGTGTCAACAGAACTGACTGACATCTTCACATACAACAATAGGAGAGGGCCGGCCAAGTGGCTCGTTGGTTAAGAGCTGGCTTGGGAGTGCGAGCTCTGAGCAGCAGGGCTGCCGGTTCGGATCCACATGGGCCAGTGACACTGCGCCCTCTACAGGTAAGATGGTGAACAACAGCTCAACTTGGAGCTGGGCTGCCGTGAGTGGCCAACAACAGCGTAGGCTGCAGCGGGGCTGCGGCAGGCTGCCGTAAGCTACCATGAGTGGCTGGCAGCCAGCGTGAGTGGCTGGCAGCTGGCGTGGGTGGCCATCCAATGGCCGGCAAGCGACTGCCTCACCCGGGAGGAGCACAATGATAATACCAACATGAGCCAGTGAAGCGACATCCTACACAGCTAGACTGAAGAACAAAAGAACAATAAATTATCTGTTCCCCTCCCCCAATTCCCCAATAAAATCTTTAATAAAAAAAAATAATAGTTGAAATGAATTGACATAATTAATAATGGAAGTATAGCAGGTATTTCAATTCTAACCCAACAATCTATTTTAAAAAGGCATTAAACTTAAACAGTAGCTGAGTCATTTATAACCTGGATATTCTTAGCTAAAGATGCTGTCTTTTAAATATAGAAAGCTATTAAAAAAAGGAAGGGTTATCTACAATGATGGTTTATACTCGGTTCTAGAAATAGGTTCAGACTAATATGTCTTTGAAGATTAACCTGGGCTCTGCTATCAACATCCCTAGTGACCCTGACATAGGGCAAATTTCAAATATGAAAGAGAGAGGATAATTCAAAATCTTCCCCTAAAAGTCCTATTAAGAGACTGATAAATGCTTAAAGCTTTTGAAAAATCTCAGAATCTCACAAATCTGAATATCCTTCTTGCAGACAGAAGACAATGAACCTTTACATATATTAACCAGTTCATCTTCAAACACCAAAGTTCAAGTTCTAGTTCCACTTTAGAGTTAAGAAAACAGAGGTTCTGGTTAGGTCCTAAGCTACCTATAAATCCTATTTTTGTCTCTCTAGTTTCTCAGACAATAATTCAGACAAATAATGAAAATGCTTAAGTCATGAGTAATAATGACCAATTCACTAGCTTTTTCTTCCTTGGTCCCTTAGCAGCATTTACACAGTTGATCTCTTCCTTCCTAAAATACTTTGACTCTGCCCAACACTTGGTCCTTGGCCACTTTTCTTCTCCTTGTATAGTCTCCTTAGTCTAGAACAGCAACCATACCAGTCCTATGACTTGAAATACTATCCATTTGCCATTGGGTCCCAGATTTGTTTCTCTAACTCTGGTTTTTTCCCTGCACTGCAGACATAGATGCAACTGCCTCCTCACCACTGCCGCTTGGGTGATTTATATATTGCAAATTTGCCATTCCCAGAACGCAACACTGACCCTACACCATCCCTACTCCTGAGTCAGTTTTCCTCAGTGAACGGCACCACTATCCACCCAACTACTCAGGCCAAAATCCTCGCTCATCCTTAGTCCTCTCTCTTTTCTTCGCTCTGGAGCATTTTATAATCCAAATACAATCCAAAATAATCCTCAACCACTCCACAGCTACAATCCCAATCCAAGACACTGTCATCTCTCCCCTACACAATTCTAAGTCTTACTATTATTAGTCCAGACAAAAGCCAAAGTGATCTTATGTAAAAACATAAGTAAGATTATTTCATGCCTCTGATTAAAGCCCTTCAGTGGGTTTTCATTTCAATTAGAAATCAATTCAAATTCACTTTCCCAGCCCTGTGAGAAATGGCTCCTATCACCCTCGTTGTCTACCTGTGTTCACTATTCTTCAGCCAGCCTGGCTTTCTGTCTGCCTCTTGGGCACGTCGGCACTTTGGTATTCACTGCTTCCTCTGCCTGCAGTGCTCTTCGCTCTTGTTAGCCAATGGCTGTGCGCTTATCATCTATACCCAAGCTGGAACGTTTCCTCCTCAGAAGGCATTACGTTACCAAGTTAGCTGGACAGCCCTCACGCATGCCCTGTCACTCACTCTCTAGCCCGTACTCTCACTTTCTTCATAGCACTTATTGTTATTTGAAAGAATCTGTTTATATGTTTATTATTTATCTCCTGACATTACAGCATGCGCTCCATAAAAACAGGAACTTGACCTGCCTAGTTCACCCAGTACCTAGAACAGTGTCTAGCACACAGAAAATAAATATTTGCTGAATTAAAAAATTAGAGAATAATTCTATAGCTGGATTATTAAAATGCTAGCCCAAGTAATTATTTTCTGCTTTTGAATACCCTTCCAGATTACCAAAGTTTCCCACTTTCCTTCTCTGGCTATGCTCTAGACTAGGAACGAAATCTCCTGCTGGGCTGGGTGAGGGGGTCTTAATGACAGGCAGAAAGAGAACACACCAAACGGCCTCTGAAGAGTTTCTCTCTAAACTGAGCATTTAGAGAAAAACATGAACAACGATTAGCATGAACTAGCCTTGCACAGCCTAAAGAACTCTAAACAGACATTCTAATGTCACTTTTAAAACACTTCTATTGTGAACACCCCACATAGCCAAAGCCAGCTGAGTGTCTTGTATTATTATTTACACTAGTATTATCACAATAGCATTCAACAAATATTCCGAAACAAACAAGTTAATGCTGACCAAAACGAAGATATAGAATTTTATATCTGGAACCTCATCTTCTATGGATAACTTTCATTCTCAACCCCCAAATGTTAAATAAAAACTGAACATGCAAAAATAACAGAAGAAAAATACAAATATGAGAACAGGAGATAGGAAGTAGGATGTAAATGTCACATATGCGAGAGGCTGCCAAAGATATGACCTAATACCACAAGTAGGGAAAGCTATGAGCTGTGCTCAAAACCAGACCCCCGCTACTAAATGCAAAAGCCCCGATCTAGACTAACCTTCTCAGCTAAAAGACCAACAATACCCCTAACAAGGTTCTGTTTTGTTTCAGAATTCCAGGTCACAATTACTCAGAAAGAGCATTGTTTAAGTTTTTTATTTCTGTGCCTTTAAGAGCTATTGGGCACAGGCTTTGGAGAGGACCGCAGGCTGGTCTGATGAGAATGTTCCAGCTGAGGCCACACGTGAAGTTCCCAAATGAGCTGACCTTCCATAATGTACTCCTTGACAACAGATGCAACCTGCCCTCCCCGACAAGAATCAGTTCAATTGTGCAGGAAGCAGACAAAAAGAAAACGTCACGCTTAGCTTGTATGTTAATTCTAGCTTTGAAGTAAGTCCACACTATATTTGCTTGCACCTACAGATCTTTCGCATGAACTCCAGCTCAAATGAGACTCTGTCCATTAAATGCAAAAAAGGATACATTTAACAACACTCAGACATTATTTCAGAATATTTCAAAGACTTACTCTGTGCCATCCACATTAAGGCCGTGTACTGACTATTCAGGACTCCATACATCATGTGAGTGGAACGTAAACTTAAATGAAAAATAGTTTGCAAAGCTGAACAGGAATCACGTGGCTGGTTAGACATATACATAAAATGACTGCTCATATCAGAAAAGCAGTAACAGGATTCCTGTTAGAGAGCCTGTACTATATTCTCAGAGGTTTTTTGCATCAGTGGACACCATTTCTTCCCAAACAATCTTAGCGAAATAATAATCAGAGAAGGCATCCAGTGTGGCCGGGCAGAATGTGGAATAGAGCTGCATGTGCCAGAGCTGGGAGCGCAGGCAACATTCCTCTCAGCTGCTAAGTATAGGGTCTTGCACATCCTTTCTGAGCGGTCTGGAGCAGATCATCAGCAGGGGTCAGAGTGAGTCCGAGAATGTCAGCTTGGGCACTGCCTACTGTGCAAAGCACCCATCAGGATAATTTACAAGGCAGGCTTTAATCCTCATAGTCAATGTATAATAGGCTGCTAATTTAATTCTAGAAACAGCCCAATTCAATCTGCACAGTAAAACAATTTAATTTGATCACATCTCAGAATACTAATGTTTATATTTCAGGCAGAAGTTTTATGAAAGAATCCCCCTGAGAGAAACAAAAATTCCAATATACACCCAAACTCCATGGCACTTCCCTGAATATAACGAACCTGGCCTTGGCCGAACAGGGCCATGTTAGTCCTTCCAAGGCAGTGTTACATGAAGCCATTTATGGAGTCACTCACTCACTCACTCACTCATCTCAAACAAATGTACATAAGAGCTACTCTACACCAAGCAGCCCTGCACCCTGTTCTCTTATTCCTGTTCCAAAATTCGGATTAGGAAAATGTCTCTGGATGTGTTTAAATAGTTCCACAAACTGCTCTGAAAGGTGAATTTAAGGTGCTCAAAGAACTCCACAAGACTTATCTTCCTAAACTACTTCATAGAAATAGAATTTTTCAGAAGGCTGTTTATTTTTTTAAAAGGCATCAATGGGTTATCTCTAAAATTAAAAACAAACAGTCAAATAAAACATGGAAAAAAGCATAAAAAACTTCAAAATTATGGTTAGCCTAGAAAAAATAAACATAAAAGGTATACTCAGATTACTCTGTATTTATTTTTAAATATTTAAGGAAAAACTTTTAACTACAATTCAAAATACCTAAGCCATACAGACAAAATTTGATACAGTTACACAAACAAAAAAACTTCTACATGACTTAAAATTAAAGAGAAAAACCAACACCATAAGCAAAGTCAAAAGACAAACTGATAAAAACTGTCTTATGTTAGGCAAAGAATCAATTTCTTCACTACAGAAAGAGCACCTAGAAACCAAGAAAAAGAGACTAGAAATCAAACAGAAAAGTGAGCAAAAGGCATACACAGGAAAAGAAATACAAACATATGCAAATATGCTCAGCCTCACTCATAACTAGATAAATGCAAATTAAACCAACTCTGAGTAATTAATGGTCACCTGCCAGCCTGGCAGAAGTCCAGAGTTTAACAACACGCTCCATGGCCCAGGCCATGAAGAGCGGGCCCTTTCCCACTCTGCTGGTGGCTACGCAAAATAGCACAATCCCCCGGGGAGGGCACTTGGGCGATATTAATCAAAATTACAACAGCATTTACTCTTGACCCAGCAATCTCACTTATGGGAATTTACTCTCCAGATGTCCCTGCAAAAGGGACAAAATTAAGCATGGACAAGGCTATTTATTGCACATTCTCTGTAATAGCAAAAGACTAGAAATAATTCAAGTTGCCACCTCCTGGGGATTGGGTAAGTAAGCTGCAGTACAACTACACAAATGAATGTGTAAGAAAGGAATAAAAATAAGAACGTGTATTTTGTTTGCTTGTATCTGCATATATTAAAAAAACACTAGAAGAAACTAATAAAAATGATTACCTAACGGGGTGGCAGTAGATGGGGAGGCGGGTGGCAGGGAGCAGAACTCTCAGTGTCTACTTCTGATTCTCAATGCATATCGTTTTGATTTTTGAACCATATAAATACATGAGCTCTTCAAAAATGAATAAGCAAAATTACTACAGTATTAAATAGCCTCATTCTACGTACAAAATAATACCGGTTAGAAACAGTACAGCGAGTGTCAGGAAACCCCTGAATGCTGGACTTCAGAGAGAAAAACTGGCTGTTCACATTCCACCATTTCCCACGGGGCCTTTCCTTCCCTCACTTGCCACAAGAAAGCCTTCTTTTTTACAAGGCCTTCTACTGAAATAGCTTCGCTGAGCCTTTCCAATGTGAGCTGCCAGTGAGGGAGTGAGTAGGTACAGGAGTAGTGGATTACTCAGTGCCACCATGACCACATGAATACAGATGCCTCCAGGACGAAATGGGAAAAAACGCCAATCCATGGGCCAACAAATAATCTGCTTTCTTTCCTAACCTGTGCTGAAACCGGAGAATTAGTAACAGTGATTTTGGTCAAGACTGATACTCTGAGGTTTAGTTTGGCCTCAGAGCCTAAGACAGTGAAATGTCCACCAGCAGTCCTAGAGAGATAAGTGTGTCACTTTGTGGTGACAGCTATGCCTCAGTGAGAAACCCGGGTATCTTCCTTACTACAACTTTCTTCTTTCAATGTCAGGGATTCAAATAAAAGAACATATGTAAAACTGCTAAGTAAAGAGTATGGATTATGAAAATATAAGGTATTATGTACCCTTCAATGATATGGTAACCAACAGGATGTTTTCCCACAGGGATTCACAAAGTTTTCATGTAACTTATTTTAGTTGAAAATATGCACTCTGCAAGATTTTTCTGCATGATAGCCATGATACTGAATTGTAAATTTCAGAGAAATTAGCAAAGTGTACACGTCAAAACCAAGGCAGTCCAATTTTCTGGCCACATTCAAAAGATACACTACTTTTAAAGAAGAAACAACACGAATGTAGGGCAAAAGTGAAAATATGAAAAACAGAATTCGAAGCCTCTTTACACTAATTTAGTCATAAAACTAGTCATTTGCTAGTTTCGTCATAAAAGTACATTATAACTGGGCCGGCCGAGTGGCTCAGTTGGTTAAGAGCTCACTCAAGAGTTTGAGCTCTGAGCAATAGTGGTTCGAGTCTCGGCCCAAGCTGAGCTGCCACTGAGCTGCCAACAGGTGGCAGGATGGCTCAGCTATAAAAATTAAAAAAAAAAAAGCACATTATAACTGATGATAAAATTTCTACCATGAGAGTTGGAAGAGCGCTCAGAGGCTGCCCCGCCTAACTGCCCACCCAACGAGAAACCCATTTAGTGATGAGCAGCTCCCAGAAAATCAAAACCCAGCTTCAACATTTCCTTTCCTATCGCTCCCGGCAGCGGCACCATGACTCTTGGGCCGTTATGTCCCATTCTCAGAGCCTCGGCACCCCTCCCCTGCCACGCCAAACTGGCCGAAGGAAATAGACGTGTTTTGTCACGAAAAGGAAAAAAACAACTTGCCTCATAAAACCATTCTGTATAAGTTCTCTTTGAAGTTTCTGATCTTGAGCAGCATATTCAGAAAGCTCAGATTCCACCGCCGGAGGAAGAATGTTTGGAATAAATTTAGAAAATAGAGTTGGAGCCATTTGAACCCACTCTGTGAGGGAAGGAAAAGATTCATTAAGAAACTCATATAAGTGGGAAAGGGAAGGTTTTGTTTGCTCAATATATACTAAGCCAAAGTTACGTGCAATCCCATTCTGATAAAGAAATACAAGAGGTTAAATTTCCTTTCTAAAACGAATTTACAGTGTAAGGAACGCAGACAATTTTACACTTTACTATTATAACAAAATTTAATGAAAATCTCTAGAGAATTTTGGAATGACCTTATCAAAAATTCTAAATATGAGGGAAAACAAGAATGAGATAACTGAAGAATTCTGAGGGGAAGGCAACTGGGGGGAAGGTACTGGTGGAAACACTAGCCCTACTAAACACTAATTAAAACCGTGTCCTAGCCCAAGAACAGAATAGTACAGGCAGTACTAAGTAGACATATAAAAAAGGAAGAACCACAAAAATGAAGCGGGAAATCAAACATTTAATAAGTGGGCTGTAGATAATTTATTCTGACTGATGCTAAATGACAGCAAATTAAATACACATAAGAGTCAAAGACAAGAATTAAACTGCTATTTAATTATTAATAAAAAGATAAACGATCAAGAGAATCATCTAAAGAAAAACATTCACAAATAAATAGGCAGTGAGAAAGCTAAGGAAAATATCTGTATCAGACATGACAGAGATGAATTAGTATTTTTATTATAAAGCATTTCTATAAATCAGTAAGACCAGATAAATTGAATGAAAGACTAAGTAATTTACAAGGAAAAAAAAAAGAATAAAAGCCTTGTTAATATTCAGAAAAACTCAAGATACAATATACACAATCTCTTCCCCCTACTCAATAAACACTAACTATAAATAATGCTCATCTGTAGCAGGGGTGTGAAGAAGCCAGCATTCTTCTTCCTTGTTGGTGGCCCTAATTTTAGCACTGCCACCCTTTTGGATTCTTTTAATCTGGCCCTTTCAAATTTTCCCTCTTGGAAAACATCTTAGCTGTATATAGCAAACCCCATAAAATATCAAGGCTCTATTTATTCCAGTGAGCTCACCTTAAAAATTGTGATCTTGAGTAAATATAATTTTAAATCTGAGAAAAATCATGCTAATGCTGTGTAATGCTAGGTCATTGGTAAGTAAAAACAAATGTCCAACAGAACAGCTAAGTTAAAAGTGGCAAAAAACAAAAACAAAACACCACAAATGACACAAGGACCAATACAATTCACTCAGCCCTTGTACAAACTCATGGCAAATGTTCTCAATTATTTCCCTTCATCTAGCTCAATTCAAATATGGCTTAGAAATTTCTCAGTACAGTGCTCTGGGGAACCACTGACCAGTCAGTCAAAGGTGGCAGGGGTCAAACAGATCTGCCATTTTATGCAACTCCAGGGAGTTATTAAAATAAAGATGAAGAAACAGAGACAAGTGTGTGTATTAAACGAAAAAGGGCAGGATGGGATGACTGCAACTGTTTTTAAGTTGAGCTTCTAAAGACCGAAGTAAACACACCTAAAATGATCATGGTCATCAGAATCTCCAAGGACTAGGGCCCTGAAATCTATAGTTTAAAAAACTTTCTTGGTTGACTCAGATGCATTCATTATGCTAAAATCAGCATGTGCGAACCACTGTAATGAGAGAAACTTTTACATTTAAAATCCAACTTTTAAAATATTTCAACCTTACTCTGTCAGGTGAACAAAACTGCTTTAATAAACCAGAAACACAATGCGTCCTGGTAAGATATGTAAACGTCAAAATATGTTTAATAGTATCTCAGAAAATGCCTAAGGCAGAAAAAGGGTAGTCTGTGATAAAATTCACCCTTTCAAAAGGACAATCCTCAAATACAGAATTCTCACAAGCAGTATGAATTCTATTATAAGAGCTCAAACCTGGATAAAACAGCTTTTAAATAAATATGTATCTATAAGTGTCTCTGCCCTTCCTCAGCGATTGCTTTTGTTCTGCAATTTGTTACTTATGATAAAAGCCAGAGGTTTTATGATAAAGCTGCCTACTTGGGAGGCAGAATTTAGAAATCTGTCATACGGCACTTGGATGCCTTCCAAAATAAAAAATAAATCATTCATAACCTAGCACTGAAAGAAAAATTCATGAGCCGTTTTCATCACATTTAGTAAAATGAAATTCAAAATTCTGAGAAACTAGAAAAAAAAAAACACCAGTTGACTGGACACATGTAATAAAATTATTTTTACTACTTTATGTAAGTAATTACTTTATCCAAATAACTTGTTAAAAAATTATGAATAGAGCAAGAACTGATCCACATTTAAGTAACATTAATTTTGAATACTGCAGAAGTCACTAAATTGTGTAAAGCAGCCTGAGAAAGAAGGTATTTCTGACATCACAGTCTACCCCTAGTGCCAGTTTTCACTTGGTTTCCATTTTAGCAAGTTAAATTCTGACATATCTTTTAAATTAAGCCAGCAATCAAGCCATCAATTAATTAAAATAAAATAACCACTGGACCCAACTGGATAGCAATAACAACAGTTAATGTTAGTGTGCTTATTATATTATCAGGTACTCTATTAAGCAATTTAGATAATGTTTTATTTCATTTAACCCTCAAATGACAAAAGAAATTTCACAAAAAGATAATTAAATAGTCCCCCCTTACCGAGGGGAGTGTGTTCCAAGACCCCCAAGTGGATGCCTGACCGCCAATAGTAGCGAACCATATATACACTAAGTTTTTTCCTATTCTTACATACCTATGATAGAAGTTTAAATTATAAATTAGGCACACTAGGAGATTAATAACAATAACTAATAATGAAATAGAACAATTGTAATAATATACTGTAATAAAAGTGAGTGAATGTAGTCTCTCAAAGTATCTTATATAGCACTCATCTTTCTTGTAACGATGCATGATGACACAACACCTATGTGATGAGATGAACTGAGGTGCTCAGAATGGCCTGTAATTTAAAACGTATGCATTGATATGAATTGCTCATTTCTGGAATTTTCCATGTAATATTTTCATACTGCGGTTGACCGCAGGGAAACTGTGGAAAGTGAAATTGCAGATAAGGGGACTACTATACCATCAATAACGCTGCCCTGTGTTTCTAGATTGTAGAACAATGTTCTACCCTGAGAGCTTCTACAATCTCTCTCCCATGGATATTTTTTAATTGGCTAGACACCTATGTGACAAGTTTGAGGTTCTGGCTTAGAAACAGGAAGATCTATACGAAAGTGTCTAGGGAGTTCTTTAAATTCACACGATTTTATTCTAAGATCGCTACATTAAGAAAATTCACACACCATGCCTTTGAATACAGTGATCGTTGACTTTTGGTTCTGCTATTCTATTATCTTTCTTCAAAATATCCTTATGAAATGACTGTAACTTTACCAACATTTCTAGAGTCCTTGCAAGTTACACACTAGGCCTAAGATGAAGTTGTGAATGTGTATGCCTATGCATATTTGTAGTGCGGGGCAGAGGTGAAAGAAAAACTCGGTAACAAAACAGACAACGATTAATGTCAGTCATGAGATTCAATTTTATCAGAGGTGTCTCCTACAAATTATTTCTTGTATTTCCCAAACAAGTTGGTCTTCACTAATATAGAGAAAATTCCAAGTGAGTCCTGGGTTTACATTTCACAATGATGAGTAACTAAATTTTTTTGTGGTAACAAATCCAAATACCATTTAGGCTTCAAAAAACACATAGAGAAACGCTGTTCTCTTGAATAAGGCTGGAGCTGCCATAAACAAATAAGTCCAACCCCCAAAAAAACAATGTATCAGTTTACCTGGTCTGAGAGTGTACAGGCCTTTCACAATATTTGCCATAGTTGAAGGTGTGACCTGAAATGGTGTTGACTGGGCTTCTAAAAGTAAAGCTGAAATAAGAAAAAATGGATATAAAAATGATGCAACTTACTGACTGTCCAGGTTTGTCTTTCTATTACTAATTTCTCCCAAAGACTGAAGGGTAAACAAGTTCAAGAAAAGCACAGCCCAAGAGGACAAACCGAGCATTTATACACTAAAGATTTTTTTTTTTTAATCCAATGCAGTAGAGCTCAATCTAACAAGTAAATATGTGCAGGTCTACTGAAATACTGGTGGAAATTATTCAGTTGATGGGGGTTCTGAAAACAAGTAAAGGTTTCTAAAAACAATAGCATTCATGGTACTTAGCGGTGAACTGAAAGTGCTCCCATTAAGTTCAGGATTCAACATGTGGAGAATAAAATGTTCTCTAATTCTCTCAATCATTTCTCTTTCCCCCAAATCACCATATTGGAGGCTCTTGGAATTTTTCTGAAAGGCACGTTATTAGTAATTTTAGGAACTGCAATCAGAGTCAGCAACTGACTTTCCCAAATGCTATAACTGTGCATACTTTTCTTCTTACTAAAGGTAAAAGCAAGAAAAGACCATGTTGGCTCATCCTTCTCGCTTTCATGACTGGTCACCACAGGACCCTGACCGAAAGAACACGGCGACAGAGTCAGCTTTCTTTTAGGTTACCTGCCACACAAAAAATTTTATCAGAACATTTTTAAATGGATAGGAATAATTCCTCTTGAAAGCATCATTAACAGATACAAATTCCATTGTTTAGTGGCTACAACACATACTACTGACTTAAAATAGTTCGTTTTTAATTTCTCTCTCAAAGACCTGCCATTTACTAACCAAAAAAACCCCATAAAGCTTGGCATCATTTTACACTGTGCCGGGCTTGTAAAATTAGGTAAGCTTCTTTCTTCTGTCTATGCCTTTTTAAAAACAGAAACACCATTTATTATTTAACAGGTGCTGGGTATCTTACATAAGTTTAATTCTCATCTTTAATTTAGGATTTACTTTCTCACAAGCTTAATTCTCATCTACTTTTGTTTTGTTTTTACAGATAAGGAAACTGAGATTAAAAACAAAACAAAATAAAAAAACACTGAATAATTCATACCAAGTCCCAGAGCTAGCAGTTACAGAATAGGTCCTAGAACTTGTGTTTCACTCTAAATTCTATATAATTTCTAGTTACCACGCCACCACTGGAATGCTAATCTTATATGTGAACTGGTACTAAGAGACTGTTACCCTTAGTAAGCTTTCTTCCAAAAAGTATATAATTAAAACACAAACAGATAAGGATCTTCCCACAATCCCACTGAGTGCTGATTATAAGTAAATAGTTTTGAAACAAGGCTAGGACCTTAGAGAACTTCTACTGCTTACCTCTTTCTTTACAGACTATGAATTAAAGTCTAGAGAGGTTAAGTGTCCTCCTGAGAGTCACACAGCTTTTTAATAGCTGAACTGGGACCAGAACCAAGCTCCTCTGTTCTTTCGATTGTTCCTCAGAGCAGCAAGCTTGCCCATGAGCTTCTCTCCTTTATTTATTTGAAAAGTAATTCTTAAAATCAAAATTAAAACTAAAAACACTTGTGACTTAAAAAAAATTGCAAACTACAAAGGTCTGAACTGCAATAAAAAGCAGAACCCAAGGAAAATAACTGAAATGTAGTATTTAAAACCCTCCATGTAAACTGAACTATAAAAATTTCCACTGCAACTCAACATGTTTTCTCAGGAAACTTCTACCATTAACTGATCCACCCATTTTGTCACATTTGCTCAGAATAATCAATACAATACTACATAGGTATCCTTGATTCATGTATATCTTAGTACTTCTACTGCTTTCAAAGTTTAATACAAACTAAAAATTGTTTTCAAAGGAAATTTTATTGCCAGCCAAAAGTAGAAGCCATTTTCTTTTATAAGCATATGCATATGAAAATGATTACACCATGGAGAGATGATAGAAAATTAACTTTATCTGTAGTGAGAAGTCACTGTCTTCATTCATGAAATAGCTGCTAGTATGGGACATTCAGGTACCAATTATTTCTTAGCAGAGCAGGAGTTCATTTTGCTATGCTGTACTGGTTTTAAAACACGGCCCCCATCGAGAGGCGTGTCCATGTCCACTCCCCTGGAATCTGGGCTCTGTTTAACTGCCTGCCCAACAGAATACAGCAAAAGTGACGGTGTGACAGTTTCCAGGCCCAGGACTTAAGAAACTGGCAGTTTCCATTTCCTGTATCTTGGGACACTCACTCTTGGAGGAAAAACAAGAGAGGAACCAAAAGCCAGTACAACGTGCTGAAAGTCATGAAAGTCAGCCATCTTAAAAGTCCCCAACCCCTGACAGAGTCATATCAACCAATGCTGGGTAAAGCAGAGATAAACTGCCCCATCAAGCCCTGTTCAAACTGCAGATCTGTGAGCAAAATAGAAGACAGTTACTGCGTTAAGCCACTACACCTTGGAGTGATTTGTTACACAGCAATAATAAATGAAACACTAGCATTTCCAAATGTATCCGAAGCCACAAGGAGGACATTACTAAATAGATTTCAGAAAATTATAGAAATTGAATGTAGTTATATGCTTTGGTGGAGTAAGGGAGTGAGTATAGGAAAATGTATAACTAAAGACAAGAAATCAATCCCTAACAGCTATAATTTTAACCTGTCTGTGGCTCGGTTTCCTCATCTGAAAGTGGAGGTAATGACTGTACCCACCTTAAGAGTTGTAAGAAATAAATAAGTTAATATTTGTGAAGTATCTAGAACAGGCCCTACCACATAGTAAGCTGTGTGTGTGCGTGCGTGCGCGCGCGCACGTTTGTGTGTTTATTTTAGAAAATCTTTGTGATAACCGTACATATAACATTATTAAACACTTGGAGAGTCCCCTGTTGTTACAGAGACTTAACCAATGAGGCCAATGGACACTTTTTGCATCCCTTACTCTAAGCACAATGCCTGGTATTTGGCTCAATAAATATCTGATAAACTCAGTTTTATCCAATTTAGAACAGTTTAAGGGCCTTTTCAGTTTACTTGGAAACTATCTTTAAGTATAATTTTTCTTGAAAATCAGATTATATAATAAAAAGGAAAAAGTAATCTGTTTATGTTTTCTCTCACTGGATCTGGACTACTATATTCTCTTTGCATATACCCAAGGAAATTGATTTCCAAATTACTGACAAATATAAAAACATATTTTCACAGTAAATAAGCTTTTCTACCAAATGGTAGCATCGCTCTAAAGAATTTTAATTGGAAAGACTCCAAAGTGCTGTGCTTTATTTTACAATGGAAACAAAGACCATGTCAACATCAGCGATAATACATTAGTGGTTGTAAATAATAGCTGGACTATCTCATGAGATAATGTTTAAAGATACTTGTAAACATCTGGCCAGCCTTAAAAAAAAAAGTCATACTCCCAAGATTCTAGGCTCTATTTTGATTCTGGAATCTCATGGGAACATAATAAAACATATATTATCTTCATCTACACTATCACTGGAAAACCATGCCTTTCTAAAATTAACTGGCCCAATATTTAACAATTCCTTCTCTTAATTTACATTAAAAAAAAATGGAAGACTTTGTGGTCAAGCTTGCAACAATTCTCTTGTAAATTCTGGTAAAAGTTCATTGTGGTAGAAACTATGGCTGTTAAGAAAGCAAAAACTACACACTGCAAATCCAAAATGTGCCCAGTGACACATGGCGTGATGATATACTGCATAAAATATGAGCTTTTAAAGAATGCTGACACATTAGGGTGTGGGGACTTCCTAAATCCCGTTCGGAGAGGTATGTTCTTTTGAGAAAGGTAGGATAAGATGCCACGTGCTGTGAGGGGCAGGGGCCCCAGGAATAGGGGAAGAGGAAAAACTAACTCAACTTGGCACCTTGATCTGCTTACTTATAATCTACATAGCCATGTTCAACATTTTACAAATCCCAATTCACAGAAGAGAAAACACAGGATCAGAGGCTGAAATGCTTGCCTACGATATAGTCTGACAGAGCCAGACTACAGAAGGGTTTTTGCACTAAAGAGTAAAAATCAGAGAAAATTCTATGCTACCATTTCAAAGATATACTGTGCTCCTTCTAGAGTTACCAGTAACAAAGTCAGGGGTGAACCCCTTAATAATATTTCCCCCATTGTCAGAAGTGGGGGAAGGCAGAAAGTATCAGGCTAGATATGAAAGCATAGTCCAGTAATGTGGCTAAGCAGCTCCCAGCTCACTGGGTGACCTTCAAGTCACATTTTCAATTCCTCATGTCTCTCTTTATAGAACTGGGCTCCAACGCTTCCTGCTGCATGATTCAGAAGATGTCAACATTGGGGTTTATATGCCAATGCTTTCTGATAAAAAAAATATGTGTATCATTGCTAGTATTATCTCACCCCTGTAAGCTGAATTACTTACGCATTAGGCTGTAAATGTGCTTTTCTGCAACGTGTTCCGTAAACAGCTTTATAAGGTCATCTTTTAAGTCTCTGTTAAGCTTGGTTTCGATGTAAAACTTATTCTGAAAAAGAAAATAAATTATTTTTCAGTGCATCCAAGATTAGCCTTATGAACTGAAACACTAAAAAATATTTTAGGGAACAACTCATAAAGGCATCAATTAAAACAAAAAACCCCAACATCAAACAACAAAAGAAAGCCCTACACTTTCTATGTCTTTCTGGCAGGGGCTCGTATTTCTATGTCTTTCTGGCATGGGCTCATATGACAGGAAGTCAATAATATGCCCTTTAAAAATACCACATCATCATCTAAAGGCAACACCGGGAATCACCAATGATGGGTCCCCCATTTATCAATGATCTAGGCTGAAAGCAGGTAGGGGACATGCACTACTCAGCTCCCCGACATACACTCACTTCAGTGCTTAGTCTAAGTCATTCGGCTTATGACACTCCCTAGAGATGGTCTTTGGTTCAAAGGCAGACCCATGACCCAAGGTAGCCCAATCAGACTGAAAGAAACCCAGGCTTGAGTGAAAAGAATTTTACAGTCATCTTACAACCATGAGGAGAACAATATGAAACAGATGTCGTGTACAGCAAAGAGACAAAAAAGAACTTGAGTCCTTGGTGACACTGTCGAACCATAGATTCAAACAACCCTGGAAACTGCCTTACTGGAATTTTATTACAAGAGATAATTCTTTCCCTTATTTATTTAAATCACTTTGAATCAGGTTTTCTGTTTCTTGCAGCCAACAGCATCCTGATTAGAATGACTGCCAAGTCAAAAAAGGGTGAGTTTGTTTATGTTTAAATGTTAACTCAGTGTACAGGAATGGAAAATACAAAGAGGAATGTTAACAAGTTGCTCACTGATTCTCTCAATTCCTAATACAATTTTTTTCTCTTTAAAATATTATGAAAACAACATGCACATGGTTAAAAACAGAACCATGCAGAAAGGTATGCAATCAAAAGAGCTGTCCCACAGCAGACCCTCGGGCCCATTCCCAAAAGTCCCACCCATTCCACACTGGGAAAATTTTTGTGTATTCTTTCGAAAATGTTGCTCCCATAAAGCTTGGCATCATTTTACACTGTGCCGGGCTTGTAAAATTAGGTAAGCTTCTTTCTTCTGTCTATGCCTTTTTAAAAACAGAAACACCNAGAGCTGTCCCACAGCAGACCCTCGGGCCCATTCCCAAAAGTCCCACCCATTCCACACTGGGAAAATTTTTGTGTATTCTTTCGAAAATGTTGCTTGCACATATGGATATGCTTTCTTTCCCTAATGAAGATGAAAATACTTGCTAACAAAGAAATATTACACATGGCTTTGCATCTTGCTTTTCACCTAACACTGTATCGTGGGAAGCTTTTTCTCTAAAATAACAGATGTCATTATTTTTAACTGCGTGCTTTTCTACTCTAAGTATCTTCCATAAATTATTTAAATAATAGTCCCCTGCTGATCACAGAAGTGTCTCCCAATGTTCTGTTTTGTTTTGTTTTGTTTCTTGTGTTTTGTTTTGTTTTGTTTTCTTGTGTTTTGTTTTTTCGGTAAGGTTTATCTTATGGAGAAAATTGTTTTGAAGATTGGTATTCCACATACAGCTATCTCTATGCTACAGAATATGGGATCAACATCTAATTCTCTAATGTACTAAACAAAGAGGAACTGGGATAATGATTTCTAAGGGCCCCTCTCTGTTCAATAAGAATGCTAACATTAAAATTCTACAACGTTATAGGTTTAAAAGGAAGGGGGCTAAACAAAGCCAACACACTACAAATTATACTCAAGGCCTAATTCTCCAAATGAAAGGTATCACCAGAATGGAAGCGAATTTATTGTTCTATTTTTTATGGAATGGCTTACTTGGCATTTATCAGACATCATGTTTTTGGATGTACATCTTAACTCTCTATTTTCTGAGGATAAGAAGTCTCTTTTACACGTTTATTTTCCAAGCACGGTAACTTCCATACGGCAGAAATAAAATAAATGCTAACTGAGTAATTGCTGATATTAATGCCTAATTGTCTATTCAGCAAAGTTGTTTATGGAATTTTTAAACAGAAAAGGGTAAATAATTCTATGTTAACACTATCAAACATTACTAGAATAGATTAATTTCCATTTCTAACATAATATGCGTAAAAGAAAAACAAAACAAGCTTCACTCTTTGCTTAGCCCAACAAGCAAGGCATTCAGAAGCGGGGACCGCTCTCACTTACCATATATATGAAAAGAGGCACGATACTCTGCAGCGCTCCCATATACTGTCCAAGAGCCACATTAAACCTTTCAATGTAGACGTCCGGAGGGCTGGCCTGTGCGAAACAACGGGTGGTCATTCTGGGAAGCCAGGTAAAAAGACTCCACCACAATCTACAATGCAAATGGACTGAGAAGTCTGAGTCTAAATTCATATTGAAATTCCAATGAAATAAAGGAGGAGGCTTATATCCTGAGATTTAGTAGAGACTATCATCTTTCAAAATCTGCTATATAAAACTGAAGCTTGGTTTAGCTGTCTTTAGAAACTGTGTAACCTTCCCATGTTAATTAAAAGGCTTGTTCTGTTGAGTAAAAAGGTACATTCACAATTTTGATAAATGATATGTGATTTTTTAAAATTATCACTAAATTATACAGACATTT